TCCATGATACAGACGGCCAGGTATTTCCAAGCCACCTCAACTCTCAGTCTACCCGCTGGCCGCTGTAGTTTGGTTCTGCGAAAGGCTTCCGTCCTGCGAGTCTTTTTATCTGCCATTCTGACCACATGCCCAAGCCGTCAAAAACTGGCACACAAAGATGGTCTGTGATTGCTGTGGTCTGATTTTTATTGAACCGCATCATCGACAATGGTCAGCGGAAGAAATTCTTCACTCCTGCTGCATGTATTAGGTATCGTACACATGACTATAGATGAAGATACGTGCATATGTAGACTGAATGACAAGCATAATCTCATCGCTACTCAGCCTTTTCTTTGTACTCACATATCGGTTTAACTCGCATAAAGGAGCACGTTTGACCGAATCATGCATGTGTTTTCACGCCCGACCTGCGTCAATCGTGAATGTTCCACCACTTGCCTGTGTAGGACTTAAGATACTTGCAGATTCCACAGAGTCACGTTTCTCGGAAGTCAAAACGAAACATAGCATGAGCATTTTGTCGCAAGAAATTTTAGTTTGTGCTGAGTACTTTACGAAATACATGCGTATTTTCATTATGTTCATATCTTTGCAGTCCGATGTCAGTATGACTTCTCTGTCATACAAGATACTATAAATTGATTGGAAGGTTGGATCAGAAGCAATGGCTTGATTATTAACTATTACAAGGGCGCCTAGGTAGCGACGGTCAGGAAGCAGGCAATGTCATCTAAGTTATTTATCGCTGTCGAGTACATTCTTGCTGACTACAGATTATGAGTCAATACCTTGTGTTAGCTCTGTATTGCATTTGAGTATCATCTTGAATAGCAACCTCAGCCAGAATGGTCACGTTAGTCGTGTATTCTCGAAGATATGGAGTTTCCAGATCCCTCCTTCCGGTGAAGTAGTTTGACTATTTGTTATCGACTGTTTAATTGCAATCATTGGCTATGCCGGTTGTCGTTTTTCATGGTCTATGGAGGAATGAGAACTCTTGAAAAGCGCGCTGTTTTTTATTTCTCGTATAAATACAGTTCCCCGATAACTTCTTCACCGGATCGCTAGAAATATCCTCCGTGCGGAAGACGCTTTGAACCGTTATATTTAGATTAATTAACACGTGAGAGCCATCACTTAGAAGCACCCTAAACAATTCAACATAGTTATCGATGCTTTGTAACATCATCAGTAAATTATTTATCGCCATGTGTCAGTGATAAATTAAGAAAGAATTACGATGATATTCGTTATCAAGAATTATTGCACGTTTTAGCGAATAGTACCGGATTGCGAACCGTGTTAACCGTGAAGACGACTGCTCATCTGATATTTCTAACCCATGGGCACACTTTTTTGTCTCTTTGAACCTCTCTACTAGACATGTGTTGTAATTTGCATTCTTTGTACTTGTCTTCACTCTCCTTTTATCGGGAAGAAGAGACCAGTATGGTTGTATAATAAAATTTACTACTGGTTACGTTACATCGGTACGCGGCCAAAACCATTGTAACAGAAGTAATTGTGGAATACCGATGTCCGTTGAACAGAAATATCGTGGTTTTCCGTTACTGCTATGTATGATCGTATCAACATAAAATGGCATCCAGAGCTCTCAATTCCTGCGGAGCACGACTGGGTGTCTAGCGATGGCCTGCGACATGACTAAGGGCTGAACGCAGCCTGTGACCGTAAACGATCACCAAAAGGGCTGACTCAGATTGCTGATTAAATACTCAGTGAAACTTTGTGAGCAAAATTAATGTTGCTAAGGCAGGATCGACTTGTCTTGGAGTTATGAAAACTAATTTTTCACTTGTCTGTTAGTCTCCCTGTTTTCCCTGATAAATAAACACTTAAGCGACCGATATCCTCTTGTGCCGATAACCTTCGAATCCTAGAAATATATTCCAGGAAGGTACAGAATTTAGATGAGCTTCCGCAGTATGAAATAACAGAAAGATTTATTCCTGCACAATTCTGATATAGAGAAAGCAACGGAGCGACCTTATAGATCGAACGAACTCATTTTATTAAGGCTGCGATAATCGAGACAGTTTAGACTGACTTAGTTACGTAGATGAATTTTTGTCATAAAAGTATTACAACGTTCATTTATTTCATTAGCCGTTAACTATTCCAACTCATCCAGCCGCTTGTGCTCTTGTTTTGCAGAAACATGCACATCAAGCGAAAATTTTGTTCATTTTCGCCTACTGTAAATTTTTAAACTTTATGCACATGCAGATATATGCCAAACGTATCTGATGTGCGCAAGTTGCCCTCCACCTTGCATGTTTATGATGGTTAACTTAAGGTTGAAGAATCCTCGGATATTCCAAAAAAATTATATTCGTTGATGTGCACTTCCTGTCGATGGACAACGCGCGATGCGAACATACCAGACCAGAATACCCCGTCAGGCGGATGGCCTGAAATTCAACCTCCAAATTTAGATCTAGTAAATTGCACGGTCACGCTCCTGTGGCTGCATATACTGTAAAGCACGTTGTGCAGTAAGTACATTGTTCGTTTTTTAGCTTAACTTGATCCTCGAGAGGTTCCGGCAGCTGGCAGCGGTCGAAAAGATGGAACGGGAAAGACGACGGTACGCGTCCAAGCGGCGACCATATTCCATGTTTTACACAGTACGCATTTGCTGTTTGCGTTTTGAGGTTGTCGCCCCATACGTGGCTATTTCGCTA